TATTTGAATGGGAGTAAATAAAGATAACAAACGAAGAATTAAGAATATAAATTGGAATATCAACATACACATGATCTTCAACAAATTGGGATTTTACTCGGGATATATCCTTTGAGTATTTTTTCTGATAAGAGCCTAAACCCACAACAAGTAGTTTTGCTGGTGATGATGCAAATAATAGATAAAACGAATTTAAAAATGATAAACATTCTGTTGATAAATGATTTCCTTCAACAGAACAAATGACAATAATGGCACGATAACGATCAATATCAACAGAGCATGTTGTGATTGTTTCAAGTCTTTTTCTGAATGATCTAGTCTTTCTTATCAAATGGTTATGAAATATTGAACGAACTTTATTTTTTGAATGAACAGGATTATAAATTGAAATCTACACATTAAGAATTTTTGTATAAGAATTTACCAAAAAAACTATTTACAAAACTTTATAAATATCAGCATCAAGAATAATAGATAGAGCTTTAGAAAAGTCTTTTGAGCGTTTGTTATGTGATGGATAAACAATGGCAACTTCATTGAATGACTTTAGAAATGAGCTCATTTCTTATTAGTTTTTCTTTCTTATGAGAATTTACTTTTTAACTCCTGTCTTTTCTTGTAGAAATAATGATTATATCCCATATAAAATTTAAAAAATATCAGACACTCTTGAAAAAGTCAAGTTCTTGTCAAAATGAAAAGTGATCAATCTACTAAAGAAATTGATTAGTGAGAAGTGAAGATAAAAACGAACCTTTAACACTGGATAATCATTAAACATCTATAATGGAAGTTCATCGGTATAATGAAAAATTAAAATTTCTTCAATCCTCATTTCCGTGTCTTGAGTTAAAAGTTATTGAAGAAACATGGAAGAATAATAATTATAATATGGTACGAACAACAGATGATTTAATGGAATTAGAAAGTCCAGAAAATTCACAATCTGAAACAAGTCCAAAGAAAGAAACCTTAGACACAAAGACAGATACATATGTGGCAAAAGGATATGCAACAGGAGAAGTAAATGAAGTTATTGTTCATCCAACTGAAAAAGAAACTCCTCTTTTATTATCAAAGATAAATGAAACAACAAATAAGGCATTTAATGGCAATAAGAAAAATGAAAGATTAGAAAATATTCTTATTGATAAAAAGAACCAACAACTAGTCAATCAAGATGATGATAATAAAATTGATGGTTTTGATCAGTCTGCAAAAGATAAGTCAGAAAAGTCTACTGAGAAACTAAATGCCAATGATAATCAATTAGTTAAAATAGTTGAAAGTGAAGAAAACAGTCCAACAAATCATAAAACAAAAGATAATGAGTCTATTGAATCATCACAAAGTGCATCTAATGGAATATCTAATATAAATGAAAAAGATGAACACCTAGATATCCAAACAACAACACAACAAAGTAATAAGAAAACAATTGATGAGTCTACAAGAAAAAGTTTTGATGAAGAAAGAGATATAGAAAAGAGAATTATTTTAAATTGTAAATCAAGAACTAATGAAGTTGATGTAAGTTATTATATTCCACCTAGTTATCTTCAAGAAAATAGTTGGATTGGTATTTATGATAGATTTGAAATGAATATGAAAAATTATATTAATAGTGCTTATTGCAATGGTAAACAAAGTGCATTTATTAGGTTTGAGGGATTAAAGAGAGGGAAGTATTGTGTTAGAGTTTTTCTTGATAATACAAAAACTGAAGTATATAATGCAGCAGAAACGTGTTATGTTACAGTTGGAAAGGAAGTTGGAGTTAGTGTAGCTGTTGGAAAAGAAAAGAAGAAAAGATTGATTAGAGTTAGTGTTCAAGGAATGGACAAAGCATATTGGGTTGGTGTTTATAAGAGTGCACTAACATCAGTATCTAATAATGATTATTTATTAGCAAGTGAGATAACAAAAGAGAATGAAATAATGATAGATGTTTCAAGTCTGAAAATAGGTAAATATGAATGTAGGGTATTTTGTAAAGAATCAACAGAAGGGTTTTTATTTAAGACATACCATGCATGTGGAGATAATACATTTCTTGTTCTTTGGTAAAGAATCAAATCAGATAAAGAAGAAAAGGTACAGCTTAAAAGAAAAGAAAGAAATAATTTAATAAATTATTTTAAGATAATAAATTTAAATAGTTAAAAAAGATGATTCTGAATTATTCTAAAAAAGAACTTAAAAAAAGAAGGATTAAATTCAATTGATAATATGGACAAAGATATTGGAGTAACACCATTACTTAATCCAGATGAAGGATATTCACCTAAAAAGAAACACAATACAAAAGAAACATTTTGTACTCTTTGGATGATATTATCAATGATAACATTTGTTTTATTTGGAATTGTATTAACATGTTGTATGTTTTTATCTACAAGACTTGAAGGGTTTACAACAAAAATTATTGATAATTATGAAGAAAAATTACCATCACAATATCTTATTCCTCAAAATGCATCAGTTATTCCAAAGAATCAACAATCAAGAGGTAGTTGTTGGATTTTTTCAACAATAGGATATTTAGAAAGTTCATATAGAGCTTATGGTCTTCGACATAATCTTCTTAACTCAACAGAGTATGTTCAATTTTCTGAACAAGCATATGGTAAATTAATTTTTGAATATTGTCAAAAACATAAAGAAATACCAATTTGTAATTATGGGGGAATGGGAATTAATCAAACAAGTGATGGAAGTGTTGAATTTATTTATTATTTAGGAGATTATGCTAAGAATATCATATTACCTACTTCAGTATGTAATTATTATCCAGAAAGAGGAGAAGGAGAGTTTCATTGTAATGATGAAGAATTACCAAAAATTATGGCTACAAATCCATTAAATTTTACAATTAAAAATATTAAAACTATGTATTCAGTAAATGAAATTAAACAAACAATGTATGAACATAAATCACCAATATCATATGGATTAGCTACTGTTCAAAAAGCTTATTATTTTGAATGTAATGAACAAAATCCACAATATAAAGAAAAAGTATGTACTGAATGTGAATTTCCATGTTATGCAGCTGCATCAGGAGAATATATTAGAGATGATTCTAAAGCAAAAACATGTTGTAGTAGAGTAGGAATGGCAGCATATAGTAATGATGGAATATTTGATTTACATGGAGAAGTTATGGGAAGTGGAGGACATGCTATGATTATTGTAGGATGGAATGATGAATTCCGAGTTGATAGAGAAAATACAAAGTATATAGAAATTCAAGAAAATAGTAATAATAGAGATGAATTTGGAAATAAAGAATATAATAGTGTTAAAGGAGGATTTATAATTAAAAATTCATGGGGAAATGCAGGTCATTCAATGGCGTATTGGATGCAAAATATTTCAGAAGCTAATGAAGCAATTATTTGTCCATTAACTCAATCAGTTAAAAATTGGGGACCTGTTGATATAGAATGTTTAAAAGAAAAGAAAACATATAAAGAATGTGGATTTGGAAGAATTAGACATGTTGGTATTGAAAAGAAAACACTTCTTGGAGGAACTAAATTACAATGTAGAATAACAAGTAATGAAACAAGTGATGTTTTAAAGATGTCATTATTAGGATTTGAACCATGTTCACATAGAGATGCAAATGAATATATTTATTCACTTGTAGGAATTCAAAGTGATAATGAAGAAGATGAAACAACATCATTAAATTTAAAGAATGATATTCCTAAATTATCAGATACACAAAGAATATTTTATATTGCTAAAATAAAATTAAATGAAGATAATAATACAATTGATAGTGTAGAAGAAATAAAAACAAATATGACAACTCTTAATATGTTAGAAAAAGTATTTAAACCAATGGCAGATGAAGATGTACAAAATAGTATTCATTGTGGATATTATTTCCAACCATATAGTACAATTAGATTTTTAGTAAGTGATTATAAAGCATGGGGATATGAATCATATGCATTTTCATATATGGATATTGAATGGGATAAAAAATCATATTTAAAAGGAAATGAAGATAATATAGATTATCAATGGATTAAAAACTCTACTGTTAATTATGAATATCCTCAATTTGATGGACCATTTGGTAATTTATTAAATTCAAATTAATTCATTCTCGTTTTGTTAGTAAATTAGTTAGTTTATTTTAAAAAGATTAGTTATTCTTTGAACAAACGTAATGAACTTAATGAATATTTAATTATTTAATACGTAAATAATATCATCAAGAATATTCACTAATGCAAAAATTCTTTGCATTAATTTAGGATCATCAATATGTTGAAGTAATGAATTACGATTTTCATGTGCTTCTTTTAATTGTTCTAAACATGATTTCTTTAATTTAGCAACTGCTTTATCCTTATCTTTCTTATCTTTATCTTTTTTTTCTTTGTCTTTATCTTTTTGTGCAATTTTAGGACATTCATCTTTTAATTTAGTTTTAGTAGCTTTAACATAAACTGTTATAAACTTATCACTTTTAGATAAAACAGAAACACTTTCTGTTTTGTTAACAAATTCAACAATTTGATTCTCTTTAGAAGTAAGTGTGATAAATCTATTTCTTAATTCATCATTAAGTTCACTTGGTAAATGTAATTCTTGAATTTTTTGTATTGTTGTTTGTCCTTGTTCTTCACATGATGGTGTTTTAGATCTCTTTGGTGAACAAATTGGTTGTTGTGGTTGGGAAGAACATGGTGATCTATCACAACATATAGTGAATGATCGTGGTGATGATGGTGCATCAAATTTTTCTATAATTTGGTTTAATTTAAAGATTTCTTCTGTTAATGTATTAATTCTTTTTTGATAAAAATTAATGGTATCTTCATATCCAGTAATAACAGAATTATAACATGCTTCTTCAGTTTCATCAAAGAAAATACCAACATCTTTTGGTTTCTTTAAATCTAATTTTGCAAGTTCTTTTTGATAAATATTAATACTTGTTAATGCTAATAAATTCTCTGCTAAATTTTTAAATCCAATATCAATAAATGGTTGTATAATAGTAACCATAGCAGCTGGTTTCATTGTTTCTAATGTACTTAAAATTGGTGGTACTTTTCTTAAAAGTAATTGAGATGATACAACCTTATTAAAATGATATTCAGGTAATGTAGAATTACTACTAAGAATATTAACCATTTCATTAATTTTTGGATATGAATTGACAATAGTACTATTAAATACATTCAAATCCATTGTTTTAGGGAATGGCTCATCACATTGATTAACAAATGTTTGATATATTTTTGAAAGTAATACTAAAACAGATTTACCTTTATCAGTAGGAATTGAAATAGCACTACAAAATTTAGATGGTGTAACAATTGCAGGTGTAATAATTTTATGGAAAAATAATGCTGATAAAATTTGTTGTGAAACACCTTCTTCTTGAAAATTTTCTTCTACAACTTCTTTAATAATTCCAAATATTGATTTTAAATTTTCTGGAAATTCTGATGCCATTTGTAAGAAACGAGTTGTATGAATATCAATATATTTATTTATTGTTTCAATAGATTTACTTTTAATTGTTTCATCTGTTGAATCTATATGAATTTCAGTTGAATTACATGAATGAATAATTGGATTAATATACTTTTCCATTAATGGTGTTAATTCTTTTCTTAAAACAGCAGATAATAATGATGTTGGTCCACTATTAACTCTAAATAATGTATGAACCTCTTCTATAATCATGAACTCTTTTCTATTTTTTTCTTATTTCTAATTAACAAACTTGTGTTTATAACTTCTTCTTGTAATTCATCAGCTAAAACGCTATATAATATTCCTGATGCATCTAATATATCTCTTAAGGCATCCCAAAATTCATTCGTAGTAGTAGAACAATATCTAATTAATGTATGAACAACAATGTGATCATAAACACAACAGAGCTTCCAAAATATTGATGTTTTAAAATATGGATTGGTATTTGAATGACTACTCATGTCAATTAAAATGTAAAATCTCTTTTTTTAAGATCTATTTTTTTTTCTCTCTTGTATTTATAGAAAAACTTACAAAACAAAAAGATCTCAGAAAATATTACAAATACTTTATAAAACAAACAAAAATGACAAAAGTTGTTATTATTGATAATCTCAAAACTGTTCAAGGGTCATCACTAAATACAATCTTAACTTATTGTGGGGTTGTTCTTAGTATTCAAAAATTTGTTTGTATTTATTTATTCAATCTTATCTCCTTTAATATTGACACTTTAGGAAACACAACAATTTAATTATTTTGTTGTTGAAATGAGAAGTGAAGAAGAAACTTCAAACATTATGTATTTAACAAATACTTTAGTTGATGGGTCGCAAATTAAAGTAGAACAATATGACTCTTTCAGAGAAAGTAATCCATCTCTATTTAAATCAACAAGTTTCAATGAACAAAAAATAGTAAAATCTGATCAACCAATTTCTGAGGATAAGTCTCAGCCTCAATTATCCAAAAAAGAACAAATGAGTATTAAAGCAAAAGAATTAGGTGTTACAGTTGAGGAATTTGCCAATAAATTTCAATCATTTATGGCTGATGTTGTTTGTGAAGGAACTAATTCAATTAATAAATTATTAGGAAAAGAACAATATCCAAGTTATCAAATTCCAGAAAGTTATGTTCTTCCAGCACATTCTACTGAATTTAAACCAAAAACATTTATAATTCAACAACAATCCAATTCTTCAACAAGTAATAATCAGAAACCTCTTCCACCACTTCCAGTAAAGAAACAAGAAATAACACCAGAAAATAATACTGTCAACCAATCAACCGAGATATTATAATATTATTTTGATTCTCATAATAAGTTATTTTACAATTGTCTATTAATGACTTTTTTTATATTGTTTTGTATTAATTATGGTCCAATAGTCCCTAAAAGAAGCGAGATGCAC